TATCAGCCCAAACCTTCCATGCAAAGTAGCAATGCAGCAGGAGATGAGTGGAAGATTCAGTCTTAGATTTACAAAAAAACACATACAGCAGGAGCATTGGCTTGTATCACTCCAATTTTCTGAAGAAATTCAGCTGACTTGATTCTGTTTCTCCATGCTAACCAACAGAAGAATTGAACCTTAGGAGGGGCAAAAGAGTTCCAAACAAACTTACAAGAAATGAGTGAGAGACTAAGGGAGTCAATTTCATTATTATATGCAAAGGAGATAGAAAATGACCCAGATCCTTCGGCCAACCAGACTAATTTGTCCTCCAGAACAGAACAAGGAGCAGATGCAGAAACCAGGAGCAAATTGAGCCCACTAACTTCCCTCTCTTCCCACTCATATAGCCTTCTTCTAAATTGAAAATTCCCAACCCCTGAATGTACCCTCCTATCATATATTGATCTCAAGGTTTCTTCCTTGTTCACAACCAATCTGTGAAGAGTTGGAAATTCATCTTTCAAGCTAGAATTGCTGCACCATTTATCCTTCCAGAAGAATGTTCTATTTCTATCCCCTACCTTGATATGAACATTATTGAGATAAAATACCATTAGACTATTTCTCCTCTCTGGTATAGATATGATACCTTTCCGAACACGAGAGTCTGCTGCTAGGGAAGGAATAGGGGCTCCAGTTGTTTACATCCAAATTATACTTGTTGCAGATTATTTAACAGGGCATCTTTCTCGGAGCCAAATCTCCACCACCATTTTAGTAGCATATAATCATTAACCAACCTAACTCGCCTGACACCTAAACCCCCCTGTTTCACATTCTTTGTTATATCATCCCACTTAACCAAGTGAATTGGTTTCCTTGATTCTGACCCTCCCCAAAGAAAATTAGCCTGCAGGTTGTCAAATTCTCTAGCTATCCCTACAGGCATTTTAAATAAGGACAGGTAAAACATAGGCAGCGCAGAGGACATAGATTTTAGCAGAGTGAACCTCCCTAAGAATGATAGCAGCTTCTTTTTCCAACCTGCAAGTCTGCTTCTGACTTTATCAAGGACAGGCTTCCAAGTAGACTTCTTATTTGGGTTAGCTCCCAAAGGCAGCCCCAAGTACTTCAAAGGGAGAGCCCTGGGTTGACAATGTAATCTTGCTGCAAATGCGGATAAAGACTCCTCAGGGACATTAACCCCACACACCAGACTCTTATGGTAGTTTATTCTCAGCCCAGAGATCACTTCAAAACACCTCAAGACCCTCTTAATATTGCATACCTCCATTTCCTCAGCTTCGCAAAACAAAATAGAATCATCGGCAAATTGTAGATGTGTTAACAACACTTCGCTAGAACCCACCTTCACCCCCTTAATCAGACCATGCTGCTGAGCTCTAGACATAAGTATATTGAGGCCCTCAGTAGCTATGTTGAACAAGAATGGAGATAGGGGGTCACCTTGCCTAAAGCCTTTTTGAGGGGAAAATTCCTCTGTTGGTGACCCATTGACCAACACAGAGAGTTTGGCAGTGGAGATACATTCTGTAATCCAACTAATCCATTTTGCTCCAAACCCAAAGTTCAAGAGCATAGATGATAAGTAGCACCAATTAACAGAGTCAAACGCCTTTTCAAAATCCAGCTTGATAATCACACCCCTCATTTTGGATTTTCTCCAACCATCCACTATTTCATTAGCAATTAAAATACCATCCAAGATGTTTCTGCCACCAATGAAAGCCGATTGTGCAGTACTGATGATGTGAGGGAGCACTCCTTTTAGTCTGCCTGCCAGGACTTTTGCTAAGACTTTATATACCAAACCAACAAGGCTTATAGGTCTATAGTCACCAAGCCCAACAGGATTATCAACCTTAGGAATTAGAGAGATAAATGAGCTATTAAGCCCCAAGACCAACATACCATTCCTATGAAAGTCCTTGAAAAACTACAACAAGTCAAATTTCAATAACTTCCAAAATTTCTGGAAGTAAGACAAGTTAAAACCATTTGGCCCAGGGGCCTTATTGCCATCACAGTCCTTCACAGCAGCTTTGATTTCTTCCTCTGAAAATGCATCTTCCAAACTGTCAAATCTAGGACAATCAAGAATTGATTTAAATTGACCACCAAGCTTGGGTCTACTTCTCCAGTCCTCTTTGAATTGATTTCTGAAGTGGTCAAAGGCCGCTAGCCTAACCTGAGCAGGGTCTTTATACAGCACATTTCCCATAGAAATTGAAGAGATCTCATTTCTACTCTACCTACTCTTGGTCACCACATGAAAAAATCTGGTATTTCTATCCCCTTTGAAATTCCAATTGAGCCTTGATTTTTGCAACCACAGCCACTCGACCATTCTGCTTAGTCTCCATACTTGATCTCTGACGATCCCTCTTCTATCTTTCTCTGAATTGTCCAGGTCTCTAGACTCCGCAGATAAATCCAAATGATGCAATTCCTCCTATGCTTCCTTTAGCTGCTCATTTACACACCCAAATACCTCTTTATGCCATTTCTTTAATTCTACCTTCAGTAATTTAAGCTTCTTTTGAAGTACAAACCCAGCCCATCCTAGAACTTCAGTCTGTTTCCAAACCTTCTCCACAAAAGCTGGAAAGCTTGGATAAAGGCTCCAAGCATTAATTACTCTAAACGGTTTAGGGCCCCAGTCTCGATCATCTTCCATCAATAACAAAGGACAGTGATCAGAAATGAGCCTTGGGAGACCCCACAGTTTTAAATTGAACACCTCCAGCCATTGAGGATCAACTAACACCCTGTCTATTCTACTCCACTTTTCACCTGCTAGTGAGTTACACCAAGTATATTTTCTCCCAATTAAAGGCATATCCTGCACTTCACATTTGTCAATAAAGTCAATGAACTCTCTCATCCCTTTTATCTCTTCTAATGCATCCTTTTCTTTCACCAATGCTTTTAATTTCATTAAAGTCACCACACAATCCTAATCTAGTTGTGTATTGTACAATATGCAATGGGGATGTATCTCTGCGTCTTAGTTGAATACGGAGGCATGTCTCTCAAAATTGGAAAACGAGTCTTCAAGACACCGAAGCATCTCAATCACATTGTGCAGGGAGTAGTGTCAGTAATTGAACATCTGCTCCTTGTTTCTTGGTTATTGAGTACGAAACTTATTTACATGGTACCTCTCACCACGGTATGGTGATAAAAAGCCAGGCATATTTGTATAACCCGAATCAACAACATAATATTTATTTGTTCAGCATGTATGTATCTATTATTATGGGTTGCCAAAAGAATATTAATTATAAATTAACAAAATGCCATATAATACGTACCTCTTGGTGGCATTGGAAATAAATATGCCGGATCATGTACAGTTTCAATAAACACTCTTAAATAATTTGCAGTGCCCTCCCAACCAGCCAATACATACGTAAATTGCATGTCAAATGAGCAAACACACATTACATTTTGTGTTGTAACAGTATGCTTACCCCGATATGGTATTTGCTCTAATGCTAGCACCCTTGTAGATATGTGGGTACCATCAATTGCTCCAACACAGTCCTATTTGACAAATGACTTTAATAATGCATGATATTTTACTAAAAATTATACTTCAAATATTCTGTAAGGGATTACCTTTAAAAAATGGTAGAATCGTGGATTATGTCGGATTTTTGCAAGCACCTCATCAAAATTTAGAGGCCTTATAACTTGTTTACTAAGCCTAAATGCTGCCTTCAACACTCGATTAAAGCACTTGGAGATAGTATGGCCAAAATGTTGGAATTGCTCTTGGACAACACGATTTCATTTGTTCTAACAAATTGTTAGAAAGAATATACAAACTTGCTCTTGGAGTGTTAGATAACATGAGTGTTCTAGTTTGCCATATAGCTTAAGTGCCTCGCACAAACTAATAAGTACATCTGGTTCCAATCTAAAATTTTCCTTGGACACCTTGTTTCATTTCCATTCAATGTTTCTAATACGTAGTTATGTCCTTGCAATATGGACGTTCGGCATGGTCTAGGTCAAAGGTAAATATTACAATATTCATTTAGTGCTACACACACCAGAAATTGTATATTTTCATCATCACTGTCTGAATCAAAACTCAAATAAAGAGCATGCATCGGCTTTATATATATATATATATCACTATGATACTGTGTTGACCCCTTAAAAAGAAAAGTATTAGTGATAATGAAAACACATGTAAATATGGTCACACATATATTAAATATATTTAATAATGTAGTAAGAATCTTTGTTGGACTCTTAAGAGAACACATGTAAATATGGTCACACATACATTTTCCAATTGTTGACAATGCAGAAATTTTGTTAGACTGATGATAAAAAGAAATTGGAACAATTAGGCAAATAGTCCATGTACTTTACACGATGTGTCGATTTGGTCCCTGTAGTTTCAATTCGCTCGATTTTGCCCCTTAATTTAACGAATTGTGTCATTTTAGTCCAATAAATAACGGTTGTTAAGTTAACAGAAAGTCAAATAATAGGTCAATTTAGTCATTGTATTTTCCACAATGTGTCAACTTAGTCCCCGTCAAAATCGAGAAAATTGAAATTAGAGGGACCAAATTAACACATCGTGTAAAGTACAAGGACCAAATTGACACATTATTTGTTATTTATTAGACTAAAATGACACAATCCGTCAAATTAAGAGGGAAAATCGAGCAAATTGAAACTACAGGAACGAAATTGACATATCATGTAAAGTACAGGGACTATTTGCATAATGTACCCAAAAAAATTTGGAACGATCACCAACAAGCATTATATAGCAAAAGATCATTGAATATAGCAGTAGCATTAAAGTTAGGTTGTCTGTGTTCAATACTTCAACTACCATTAAATTTATTGGTATCTACCCATCAACTCCAAATGTAATAACATTCAAGTACAGTATCAAAAACATGCTACAACAAGCAATACTCTATTTCCATAATAAATAATTCTCTATAAAAAAAAAAACACACAATATTGGAAAAGCAAACTTATTCACAGACCATACCAAAGATACTCTATAAATACTTCATAAATACTTCAACTACCATACCAAACCCATAATAGCAAAGCTTGTTCACAGACCTAAAGTACTAACATAAGTATTAAATACTTCAACTACCATACCAACTACCATTATTATTGTTACACATTATCAGCAAATGTCAAAAGTACCAACATTACTAGCAAATAAAACAACACAAAGACATACCACACTAAACTTGAACTCTCTAAGAATAACTCTCAAAGATTGAGGACCCAATCCCTCATCCTAACAGTAGGCATGTCAACAAATACCTCCCTTATTATGGGATCCAATGCAAGCTTGTTCACAACTTTAGTATAAGTAGGTGCAAGAATTTCCTCCATAGCATGCAATAGTGCCTTGCACTCTTTCAGTAGTGAACGTGAGCCAGTAGAACCACCTTTAATTGAACCACTATCATCGCCAACATTAGTAATTGAAGCGCTTGTCAATCTCTTTTCCATTAGGTCCACCTTCCTCTTACTATTTTCACTCGTTTCTTTGAGTGCTTCAGAAATATTAGCTTGAAAAGAGCTCTTCTTCTTCCTCTTTCTATCTGCCATTTTGCCCTTGCCATTGCCCTGGCCATCTCCATTGTCATTATCACTATTAATTTCCAATGCATCTAAGTCCTCATTCTTTAGCTTAAATTCAGGATCAGAACTAACATTACTTTTGGAAGGTGATTTGGTGGAACGGTGAGCCAAATGACCAGTTGTAGATGTGTCTCTTAAGATACGAGACAACTCATGGTAGTAAACCATCCCTTTCTTCCTAAATCTCTTTGTATGTCTATTAACCTACAAACCAATAAATTTCAAGTTAACATGAAGAATTCTCCAATTAAATGTAGCAAACAAAATGCAAAAAGTTAATAAAATCTTGTAAAAGGCCTCCGAAACATCATCTGGTGTAGTGATAGTAAGTCGTTGGCTATTCTAACCAACACGAGTATGCTTCTATAATGGGGAGATCATTGTGTACTTTTGCTACCATTGCCTAAATACCATGGTGTGAAAATAATCCATAAATTTTAATAAGTCTTCAACAATAAATTATAAGACTAGACATGCATAACAATTCTTAACATTTTCAACTCCCCATATGAGACGACACTGTCAATACACCATCTATAACCTTTACATTTTTCATATTCTTTGACCCAAGCTAACACCTCACGTATCGGAGATAGATAAATTATATGAATGAAATTGGATACAAGCAGTACACCAAAAACAATCTATAAAAGATAGATTCACACTACCAACAATCTACAGGAACATAACAAAACAATTCATAAAACCCCAACAAACACACCCTCACCAAAACAAGGAAAGACCTATAGTCCACCCTCACAACAAATATAGTGTTAAACAAAATAAATAAATAAAAAATCTATAATGTAAGCTCAACAGATTTACAATAGATCCACAAGGAACCACCATCAATATTTATAAATAAATAAATAAATAAAAACAGATGTGTTTAAAAAAATGATGGAAGTTCTCGGTGAGAGAGAGAGAGAGAGAGAGAAAGAGATTGACCTAAGATTGATTCAGTAGAGAAATTTGCAAGAGCTCTACAGTTTTGCAACAGATATGTTGTTTTAAAAAAAAATCCATGGAAGCTCTCGGCGAAACAGAGAGAGAGAGAGAGAGAGAGAGAGAGAGAGAGTGACCTAAATCTTCAAGTCTTTGAATAGTGTAAGAAAGTAGAGGAAGATGATGATCTAAAGTCAGAGATAACTTTGATATTACCGTTGTATTTTAGGAACTTGAAAATTGCTTCTACGCAGTTTTGAACACGACACAAACTTACGCACCTCCTAAATATTGTTCATCCGCATTTTTTCAGCTTCCGTTTTTCGTTTAAAAACCAACGTAAACTCATTTTTTGAGTTTATAATTTTTGGTCAAATTTATAAACAGATACCAATCATTTATAAAGCAACAAAAAATTATCAAACAATTTTTTATGATAATGTTTTTAATTTTTATAAATATAAACTAAAAATCGAAAATAAAATAGTTACCAAACAAGAAAACTGTAAAAGAAAAACTCAAGCCCTAAAAATAAACAATAAATATTAATTTTAAAAAAAATGAAGATTGGTTGGACGGAAGATGAGATGGGTGCATTAGTTGGTATATTAGGATGTGTTTGGTAACGTTTACGTTTTCAGTTTATATTTACAAAAATTTTATAAACTAGTTTTTGTTTATTTTTTGTTTATTTTTAGAAAAACATAAACTACAAACGCGTTTGGTAATTGACAAAATGTTTGCAAAATTTAAAAAATATAAAAAAGAGTGAAAAATGGCAAGTGGCGGCAAGTGGCGGCGAAAGACGGTGGGTGGTGGGTAGCTGGTGGTGGTGGGTAATGGCAGGTGGATGGGTGACGGTGGCGGGTGGTAGCGAGTGGGTGGTGGCGGTGGCGGTGGCAGGTGGTGGAAAGTGGTGACGGTGGATAAAATAACAATAAACTAATTGTTAGACTACATATATGGCATCATACATGCTAAATTTCATGTCAATCAATTAGATGTGGAGATGTTTTTATGTACTCCAAATAAGAAATATAAATGTAAATATATGGATGAGACAACTCTTTTAACTCCAAGAAGCTTGAAATTTGACAACTATAATTGTCATCAGATTTTAACGGTTAGTTTATCAAAATGAAAAATCCGAGTGATAGTTTATTAGTTAGTTTTCTTTTGAAATGAAAAATTGACGTAGACAATTAGGGGACCTTGGTATATTTTACATTTATGAGCACTTACCATGGCTTCCTTTTCTTTTTTTTTTTCCCTTAACGGCATTACAATTTTAGAAGGTAAAAAACTTAAGAGGCCTAACATATAACATTAAATATTAAAAATGGTATTTATTGACAAACTCTTCTTCACTTAGTTATATTCTACTTAATTTAAATTATTTTCTTATATTTCAATAAGTCATATGGGTGACATAGTTACCAAAACACCCCTAATAATAATAGGATAAAATGCTTATTAATGTTCACATTGATTGTGAATATTTCATAATGTAAATATTCACATTAAATAAATTTGACAGTGTGAATGTTTTTAAGGATTCAAAATAGTCCAAAATAGTGCACACCAAGTTGCTAAGGATTCAAAAAATATTTTTAACAGTAAAATTGTTTATAAATTTTCTTAAATATAAGAATTAGGATTTGATAGATTAAATGTTCAAAATAATAGAACTTATTAGAATATAAAAATATTTTATGGAGTAATTAAGATACAAGTACTTGGTGGGTGGTGGTGGCGGAAGACGGTGGTGGAAAATGGCGGCGGGTGGTGGCTAGTGTTGGGTGGTTAAAAAAAAAAAACTGAAAACTCAAAATAGAAACACATTTTTTGTGTTTTCATTTTTTGGCCAAATTTATAAACTGAGACTACTGATTTATAAATCAAAAATTTCACCAAATAATTTTTTATTTGAGTTTTTAAAATTTTTGTAAATATAAATAGAAAACTGAAAACGTAAGTGTTACCAAACGACACCTTAATATTTATATTTGTATACGAATTTTATATAAACAAAAAATTTAACTGGTACTTGATGGGTAAAAACAAAACAAATTAACATTTTAAAAAGAACATTTATAAAATGATGTGAATTAATATAAAATTTCCCCTTTAAACCTAAAACAAAATACTTAAAAAGATAAATTTTAGAGCAAATTACACCGGTGGTTCATATATTTTATCTTTTGTATTATTTTTGTCCATACACTTTTAATTTGCTCAATTTTGGCTCTTAAATTAAATTTTGTTTCAAATTGATCCAATTAATAATATCATTAGTGTTTTTCTAAGAAAAATTATCACTAAATTAGTTGAGGTTAATTAAATAAGATGAGTAAGTTTATAATTTTGCTTTTAAAAATATGGCATGTGATACTTATGTGCGTATTTTTTATAAAAAAAATGTTAAGAATTATAATCAATTAGATCAAATTAAGACAAAATTATAAATTTAAGATTAAAATCAATACAATTAAAAATATAAGGACTAAAACGACACACAAAGTAAAATACACGAAATACCGTGGTAATTTGTCCCAAAATTTATTTACGAAAAAAGTAGATTACACATTGTTGCTATGGTGTTTTACATAATTTTTTTTGGGATAAAGATATATAATTTTCTCTTGGGCGAATTACATTAATGGTTCTTCTAGTTTAGAATTTGTGTCACTTTGATCGCTGATCTTTCGATTGTGATATATTTGATCTTGAATTTTGAATCTCATTCTAAATAAAGACAATTGAAGACATTGTTGCTCCATTTCAATGTTAAAGTCGTTAATTTGATAAAATATAAATAGTTTTGACAAAAATAAATGTCAAAAAAATATTTCTACCTATCAAAAATAAAATTATATAAAAATGATAAATCTTTTACATTTTATTTTTTTTAGTTTTTTACCAAATTAATTTTTAGTATGCGTTTGGATGAAGATAAAATTATTATTTTTTTTTACCAAATTAATATAATGGATGGTTATTTTTATTGATATTTTTTTTATGATTATCATGTAATAGATGATTGTATTTGTTATTAATAGATATTTTTAGATGATTATCAGGTAATCGATGGCTATTAGGCTTTTAATGTTTAATTGATATGTTTAATATATAAAATATTTTTAGATTTAGATTTTTTTTTTATTTAATGGATTGGTTTAATAATGATATTAAAGTTGTTGCCGTGTTTGACTTTTGAAAAATAGACACTAATTTAACGAAAATATAAAAAAAAAAAAATTATTTAAAAAAAAATTTATTTCTATCCTCCCGATAGATAAAATTACATAAAAATAATGTGTGTTTAATTTTTTTTTTACTAATTTAATTTTTAGTTTCTTAGAAAAAAAAATTCAAAATAGATTCTAAAAATCAAACCAAACAAAACTTTATAACTAAGAATGTTTTAACATTATTCATTTAAAAAAAAAAAAAGCCATTATATTTCAAATAACATACAAGTTAAACAACATAAAATAAGTTGTATGATGACTTTGCCTTTAAAATTGACCATTTGTAAAGAAAACATCTTTAATTATCCTTATTTAGAATAAGATTCAAAATTTAACGCCAAATACATCACAATTAAAAAATTAATTATCAAAATAATACAAATCCTAAATTATAGAGATTGCTAAAATAATTCACCCTATTCGCTTTTCAAAGAAATGAGCTAAGGAGTTACCCACTTAGGTTAGGATTCAACAATGCCCGAAACTCTAAATGAATTATTAAATATTAAGTAAATTATATTGATATTTTTTGAGATTTTTGTTTAATATAAATTTTTTCTTTGCATTTAAAAAATTGCACTTACCCCTTATAAGATTAAAATGATAAATTTGTCCATTAACATCTATACATATAAAATAATAAAATAATACAGATATTTAATTCATGTCATTTTAAGGAATATAACAATCATCTTATTTACTTTAACTCACACAAAAAATTGAGTTTTTTTATTCTTCATGTTTTTTACTTTAATTTTTACTTAAATTTTTTAATATTTTAAGCAATTTTTTATATTTTTTAAATAGACCTAATCTAGATATACTTAAGAAGTATAATATTTTGTAATTTTTTTTTAATTCACCAAATACAAAAATAAAAAAAAAATTCATATATTATCTCATTTTGTTGTATTCAATGGATTTTTAAAAAAAAAATCGCACAAATTTTATACTTTTTAAATATATCTAGATTAATGATCTAATTTAAATATAATGGTGGAAATAAAAATATAAAAAAATATATATTCGCATATAAAAATTTATACAAAAAAATATTATAAAAAGGGCAAGATGATCATTTAGAAAATTTTAGGGCATGACATCAGAAATTCAAGAGGTAATTTGTAATGAGATTACAAACCTCATAGAGAGGAATGTAATTTTTCAAATGTAAGGAGGGATCTATAGTAAATATAAATCTCTGGGGGGTGTCAGTGTAATTTACCCTTAAATATTTTAGGTCAAATTATGTTGATATTTCTTTTATTTTGCTTTTTATGTCATTTTGATCCCTATAATTTTAATTGGTTCAATTTTGATCTTGAATTTATAACTTTATCTCAATTTAGTCTTACAAATGTTAGTATTTTTTAATAGAAAATATGTACATAATGTTATTTGTCATGTTTTTAGAAACAAAATTACAAACTTGGTTTACTTAGTAAGTTAATCTCAACTAATTCAATAATTATTTTTTATTAAAAATACTAATAATATTATTAATTAGACCAAATTGACACAAAATCTAAAATCAATGGTCAAAATTGAACCAATTAAAAATGTAGAGACCAAAATAATATAAACACAAAATATAAGGATTACGAGTATAATTTATCCAATATTCTATCAAATACTTATTTTCGTTTGGAATCAGGGCCGGCCTTGAGGGCAGGCAAGAGAGGCCTGCGCCTTGGGCCCCTAAATTTGGGCTGAAAATAGGGGCCCTCAAATATAATTTTGTGTTTTAGATGTATTAAAAAAAAGGCACAAATACTATAGGTTCAATTGAATATGGGGCTCAAAAAAAAAAAATACAGTCCATAGATTGAATGGGTTAGCTTTATTAGCCATTGAAAAAGATATGGTGGATAAATTCGATTATGCAAGCTTCATTAGCGATTTTGCAGCTAAAAATGTGAGAAGGGTAATGTTTATGTGATAGTTGGTTCAATTGTAAACTGGATATCGCTAAACTATAAAGCAACAAGATCAGATTTTTCTTTTGAGTGTTTGTAATGATTGCTTCCCATCTTAATATATGAAAG